CTGGTGTCCTCGTCGTGCTGCGGGGTTCGTGAAGGGAAGGGCAGTGGTCAGGAAGGAAGGGTCCAGGTAAGCGGCGGAGTCCGGCGGCCGCACACGCTCCCCTCTCCGGTCTGGGGCGCGAGGGGTGGCGGCTTCTATCAGCGGCTTCGTCCTTCTCTCTGCCCACGGTGCTTGAAGGGACTAGACGGCCCAGCATCCTTGCCCGACTGTAAACAATGAGTGACGTATACGCGCGAGAGATCACTTCCGGCGCTTGCGTAAACTGTAAACTACGCCAGAGCGCGTACACATCTCACGCACAGGAAGCCGTGCGCGCGCACAAAGACAGTTGGACATAGTGGTGTATTGGAGGTAAAAAATGATATAAATACTGTTCGGTTTCTGGCACAAACCGATCGTTTCGTGTGTTAGGACATCAATGTGTCGTCACGAGCCGCAGGGTTTAATTTGGATTTGTCTGTGCATGTTTTTTTTACTCTCATAGATTTTGTTACCATTGCCATCCATTATAAGACTGATGGACTCCAACGGTTGGACTTAAAAATCATCAAATGTGTTCTACTGAAGAAACAAAGTCACCTACATCTTGGATGCCCTGGGGGTAAGCAGATAAACATCAAATTTTCATTCTTGGGTGAACTATCCCTTTAACACAGCTAAAACGTAGTGATCCTAGTGCAGTTGAAACAAACAAAAGGAATGAAAAAGAAGAAAAATCACTGATCACTGTTGGCTGTTTTCGGCATATCAATTCACAGTAATTGCAACATAGTAAGTTCAACGTAAATAATTATTTGATATTTATTTCAGGCATAATTCATAACCGCCAATTTTACAGAGAAAGCGTTAAAAGATTAAGTTAACGTTTTAGTGCAAAAATGTGGATGCTTCTCACCCAGGGTCGCGCCAAGCCTGTGACAACGCGCTACTTTTCATACCAAGTAAAGATTTGAAAATAACGTTTTTTGTATCGAAAACTGTACTCAGCGAGTGTAACTTAAATGTCAATCAAACGTCCACCATATAAGACTCATCTGCAATGAGATTTGGTATGAATATGTAGCTTAAACGACATAAATCTTTGTTTACGTTACTATTTAAGACTTAAAGCCTTTGAAACAAAGACATTTACTGTTTACAACGGTATTTTTTGTAACGTTATTCATAGTATGGTGTGAGGTGACTAGTCGGCCGTTAAAACCGTTTATCATTTGTACAGGGTATCGACTGCAACACTGATGATGAAATAACAACAATTTATTAACAATTAGCTAATTCACCACAGTTTTGAAGAATTTCACGAATTTGAAGAATTACCTCTGAAATTTCAAACGCTGACTAGACGGTATGAATCCTGAATGACAGGGGATCTGAGTCTGACGACATCACAGACCGCACGCGGGTCGCGGGCTTGAAGCATGATGGGCGTTACCAATGTTTTTTTTTTTTTATTCGATACGTTACCGATAATTTTTGTTACATTTTATCTATGCCTATACTGATTATTTCTTAAATAGGTATGGGATTTTTCAAAATAATATTAATTAAAAAAAAAAAACACTTTAAGAGAAATCACATCTAGCCCTTAACAACTAATTTATAACAAACGCAAATATGAGCAAAATTAAATGAAAATGTGTGTACCACCAATAGGTGTAAAAAATGTTTGTATTTTACAGAAATATTATTATTTAATAGTAATTAATTATAATATAAATATAACTAACATAGCCTACACTAAAATATGTATCATATCATTGTATCATATCATCTTGCTGTATATTTTTCTGCAGGTGAAAAGCATGAATGTACCACATTAAATGTTTCCTTTCTGCCATAGACCCCTTGCACAGACTGTGATGACAGTCATCAGCGTCGTAAATCCTGGAAAGTTATTATTATTTTTTTTATTATTATTTTTTATATATTATATAAATGTAGTAATATATATATATATATATATATATAAAACACTAAGTAAGATAAGCCATTTTTTGCAGTGTAAGGAGCAGATTCCAGACGCTCCACAGTCCGAGGCACAAAACTAGAGTCCAGGAGGGTGGTGGAGAGGAGGCGGAACAGGGGGAGGGATGGAGGGCCAGGTCCATGTGGAAGTGAAGGGACAGGGGACTGAGGCAAAGCTAGCAGAGCAGGATGCCAAGGCGGAGCAGGGAGCCAAGGCGGAGCCGGCAGAGCAGGAAACCAGGGCGGAGCCGGCAGAGCAGGGCGCCAGGACAGAAACGACAGAACAGGTGGCACTGAGGACCACCACAGCAGAGCAGACGAGTCCGAAGATCCCCACGGCGGAGCGAAAGACCACCAGAGCCAGACAGAAGACCACCACGGTGGAGCAGATGGAGCAGAAGACCACCACGACGGAGCAGAGGACCACCACGGCGGAGCAGAGGACCACCACGGCGGAGGCAGAGCAGAAGACCACCAGAGCCAGACAGAAGACCACCACGGCAGAGCAGAAGGACACCGTAGCAGACGGAGCAGAGACCCCTGGTAGAGACTAGGAACTAGGGAAAACGGAGACACAAGAAACAGACAGAGCATATACGGTCTCAAGGACCGAGGCAAGGAACACACCAAGTGCATCAATATTTTCCCTGATGACAACTGAACGGGCAGACAGTTCATGAACGGGCTCACTGACTGAAACTGGACAGGTAGACAGTTCACAAACAGTCTCACAGGCTGAAACTGGACAGTCAGACAGTTCAAAAACAGTCTCACAGGCTGAAACTGGACAGTCAGACAGTTCAACAGACACATTTGAGAAAACAGAACAGGTAGACTAGATCAGAATTGTCGATGTGATCGGAACAGACAGGTGATTCCACCTCAGGCTCATTGAGGGAAATGGGACAGACAGATAATTCAAAAACTGATTCATGGGTTGATCCTGGACAGACTAACAGTTCACGATCAGACTGATTGACAGAAACTGGCTCCGTAGAGTAGCTATTGCTAGGAGAGTGTTAAACGCTATACAATACTCGGCCATCAGAGAAGGATTTGAGTGGTTGTTATATAGTGTGTGTGTGATTGGCTGCAGGTGATATATATCAAAATATTCAAAATATATACTGTATGTGTGTGTATTTATATATACATAATAAATATACACAGTACACATACATATATTATGTAAACAAAAACTTATATTTTGGATGCGATTAATCGTTTGACAGCACTAATATATATATATATATATATATATGCTGTATGTATATTTGATGTTGTAGTCTCCCGTTCAGAGCTATATACCCAGCTTTGACAACTTCTGCTTCTGAGAAACTCGGAAATGTGAAAAGGGTCCATTCTGTCCATTTCTTTGTGCATGTGCTTCTGTTCCCTCAATTCTCACAGTTATGTGACAGGCTAGCTAAATATGTCAGGGTGTTTTGGCACAAACATAAAAAGAATTACTTAAAACATTTGAAAGTGATGCAGAAACACATAATTTTGTATTAAATATATTATTATCAATATATATATTTTTAAAGGTTTCGATACCAAATAATTAGTTTGTGAAATGCTGCAGTAGCGATTTGCCCATCTTTAATTTGCAGTTTACATAGGCTACTCATGTAAAGCCTGAACTGCGGTCACTGGTGATTTTCTCTCATTTCAAACAAGTATATTAGCACGTCAAATGGTAAACAGTGAATATAAACATTGCATATTGTTAGCTGGAAATTGTGTCATATCGCCAAATATTTCACATGGTCTTCTGTGTGAATAGTGGCAGATCACTCTGGATGAGTCCCTTCATGAAATACCAACATTTTGAAATAATAGACTCAGCACTGTTCTGCTTGCAACATAACTTCATTTTCAGATGTTTCCCCTTTAAATACCTGTCAGCTCTGAGCACTTGCCTCACCTCATCCCAAACTACAGTCCTCACTCATACAGCTTGTCACTCAGCCTTATGTTGTAAATGACTTTCTTAAAAATGGTTGTGTTCCACATAATGTTGACAGCTCATTATTTTCCCATACAATGAAAATAAATGGTGACCGAGGCTGCCACAGTCAAGCTTACATTTTCTATTTTACTACAAAAGAGCATGTACATTCAGTTTGAGGTTAGAATTGATAGGTCTATGGCATGAGGTTAGAATTTCTAGATAAATAGACTTTGGTCCACAAATAAAAGTAAAGCGATTCAAAAAAATCGCAAATACTAAATAGAATGAGATCAACAAATACATACATATAGCAGTTTCACAAAAATTAATTCAATTCACAATTAAATAAAAATTCACAAATAAAATTCGCAAATAAAAAAAAGTATCCACATAGGTCTATATGTTTTTATGTCACCGACACAACTTTGCCTGGAGTAATTATACATGAAATGAACCACAAAAATAAATAAATAAATGAAATATAATATAAAATATTAAAAATAAGACACATTAGTAAATGGATTTGAAAAACTTTGGGATGAGAATAATAAAATGTCATGAGAGTAATAAAATGTAGGCTATATATATTAAACATTATTAATAATAATAAATTATTTGAATTTCGTTTGAATGCTTTCATGGGCACATCATGCTGAGTAATAGGCCTATAATATAATATAGCCATTTTTTAAAATGGTCTTTTTGTCATTCTTAAAGGGATAGTTCACCCAAAAATGAAAATTCTGTCATTAATTACTCACCCTCATGTTGTTCCAAATCCATAAGAATTTTGTCTTAATATTAAATGTCTTATAGCTTTTTGTTAATTGTATGCCTTCTGTTATTCACTTTGAAGAAAAGACAGTGTACTGTTAAAATAACATCACTTTCAGTCTGTGGAGAAATGGAACTGAATAGCACCAGCTTAACCTTTTGAACTGACGTTGTCATTCTCGAAATACGTATTTAAGTCAGACTCTGTTTAAATGCTTAAATGAGACTGGTCTCATTTTATTAAATGCATTTTATTAGATAAACCAGGAACTGCTCTGAAACCACATTTAGGCTTTGAAACGTACAGTGCTCATATTTGTTTAATTGGACAAAATTCCTTAATTATGTCCTTAATTGGCTGTTGGTTTTGTTTGTTGTTGCACTGGCAAAAAAAAAAAAAAAAAGGCATTTCACTACATCACATGTATGTAATGTACATAACAAACCTTTAAATGCAGCTATATATGATAATAAATTAAATGAAATTATTTTTTTTAATTGTTATTCATTTATTAGTTATTACAAAGGACATTATTTATAGTTAAAGATTTAAGTAATTTATTGTTCTTTTTTTCTTTTAACATTGTGAAAAAGAATACATTTTGTTGTATGGACAAGAAAATAAATAAATACATTCCACTAGCAGAACTAAAACGACTTCGAAAAGCACGCTCTCTCAATGTGCATTAAGCCCATGTAGTGACATAATGTAGCCACTAGATGTCAGTAAAAACACATTGAAGCAACTAGAAGTGGCAGATACATGTGTGCGTTTCGGCTACTTTTGTTGCTATGGGCTTAGAAAAGAACACTTTTCCATTTCTACGTGTTTACATTTTTAAATAAATCAATAATTATTCACAAATGATTGCTTGATGAATTGTATTTAACAGCATTCTGTGATGGAAATGATGGTGAAGTCATTTTAGAATGAAATGCCAACTGCTTTATCGTGTTAAGGCTATTTATTGCTAGCATTACATGTGTCCTACATACAGTTAAATAACTTTTTTTTTTTTTTGCATAAGTTCACAAAATTACCGCTTGGCTAGAAATAATTACACTCTGTTTAAAAGTGATATTTACTTTGAAACCTGGCATTAATGTTCTTCCACCAATCTACGCAACTCCAATTCAACAATGAACACAATTGAAACGAAATAATACATAATAAATCAAATAATAGGCTACATCTTTATTATTATTGCAATATTTGCTGTTTGTCTGTTTGTATTGAGCAGATGGGCCTTCTAAACGTTTCTTTGGATTCCTACATTCCTTTTTGGTGTACTAGTTTGCATTCCCTCACATTAGACAGCACCTTGTTAAGTGGCCTTCTTAAAGACAAAATCAGATGTAGCCAGAGGCATCTGCTAAGTAAAAATATTTGTGTCAATACTTAATTTGTTGAGAAACATTTTACAACTCCTCAGAGTAAGTCCCTAAAGATTCCTCACTGAATGCACCCCATAGTGCCAGAGAAACGTGGCCCCCGCTAGGTGTCTTGCCTATGGCACATTTTACCCTTTTGCGTTTGAATGTCAAGACTCTCCATGCAGAAAATTGATTCCCAATGATGCTATTGAGCAGGCAGGTCACTCGAGAGAGAAGAAAATAATCTCATGCCCCCAAAACAATGAGATGAAACCAAAATGCTGGAGATAAAGGATTGTCACGAAATTATGAAAATTGAGGAAATCGATCACAGAGCATGAAGCAGATATATGGACACTCAATATGTTTAAACCTAAATAAGGACATGTTTGAGACCTCAGGTTCTCGTGTCTCCGCTGAGGGAAAATATCATAGGTCACTCACATGTAATTCATGTCATTTTTGTGTCCTCACATAAATTAACAGGATATAGTGAATCTACATCATCTGAGAGATTTAATTAGAGCAAATGTTTTTTGTTGGAAGATTTAACTTTTATAGACATTTAAAAATATCATGCTTTCACGATCTGTTTTTTTTTCTTAAAAAAAAAAAAATGGAGAAAATGCAGAATTCATCTGGTCCCGCATGCTCTGATATAATGGTTTGAAATTAAACAAAAATTTTTTTGCCCCTAAGCTTAATTATTCAACTCTGTTATGGCATAAACACCATTTTTTAATCACCAGAACATAGCCAGTGAATAATATGGCATGGTGCAATGATATTTGTTAGCTGAGGCTAATGTGAGACATTTTTGCATTGACATCTTTAACCCTCAAACATGTATATGTAACAGGGTTGACACAAACGCGTCTTTAAAATGAGATGGCATGAGTTATTAATATACTTACTTAAATTGAAATGTGAGCTTTTTACCAAAGCACAATAAACTCAGTTACCTATTTAAGTTCATGTATATGAATTCCAAACTTATAAAGTAACAGGGTTGAAATAAAGTGGTGCTGTAGAGTCAGCTTTAGCGTTACTAATGACAAGTCAGTCAAATAAATCAAGCTTGATAGTTCAACTTATGTGATAAATATTATTATTTGAATCAGCATAACACAACCTGTTAATAATACGGTGCGGCGTAATGATGCTTGCTATCTGAAGCCACTATTAGACATTTTTGCACTGATCTTCAGCTCAAGAACATTTCGGATATAACAGGGCTGACAAAACACAAAGAAAAATGGCACGAGTTAGTAAAATTTAAATAAATCATAATGTGCGATTTATGAAAAGCCTCAAATTTACCTACTCAAATCTCTGTATGAATTCCAAACTTGCAGTAACAGGATTGACAAAGTTATGCTTTAAGGTCAGGCTTTGGGTTATTAATGACAAATAACTTCAAGCTTGATAGTTCAACTCTGTTAAGGGTTATACACATTTTTTTTAATCACCAGAACAAAAACTGTGAATAATACTGTGTGGAGCAATAATAGTTGCTAGCTGAGGCCATTAATAGACATTTTTGCACTGACCTTCAACCCCAAAGCAAAGCTGACACAAAGCACACTGCCAGAGAGAAATTGCAAGAGTTATTATAATATTAACTCAATTATATATAAAATTCATTACCAGGCACAATAAAATCAGTTAATTATTCAAATTTACATGTAGAAAACTTACAGTAACAGGGTTGAAATAATGTGTTCCTTTAGGGCCAGGCTTACTAATGACAAATAACTATTAGTACTCTGAAATGGTATTTTATAATACTAGAATTAGTCATTTGATAATCTTATTTCTTGACGACTAATCTAAATACAGGAGGCACACGGTCCCCTGTGGTGGTCCTGCAGTGTCTATAGAGGTTACAGCTCTGGTTCATTTTCGAACTAAAAAATCCTGAAAGATTTGGGAGAAATTTTCTTAGAAAATCCCCATCGTCACTTCAAAACCAATCAAATTCTGCATTCTAAGTCTACACAACATGCAAAACCACGCATCCTACAAAATGAGTGAATAAAACCGAAGACTGGGTTATATGTGACATGCATCACTCTGGACTCTAAACACTCGTCAGTGCTGTCAGGGGTGTACTTACTCCCAGCCGTCAGAAAGAATCCGCACACTTCCTCTGGTCTGGGACTAACCTGGGCCATGTGTTCAGCAGTAATTCTTCCCCTGCAGAACGGGTAAATACCCTCGGCAGAGCCCATATCAAATTCCAGGGAAACAAAGACAGCAAGCGCTGTGAGGGACGACTGCGCACTCGCAGCCATAATGAGCCATCTGTTCAGCATGGCAGTGCAAACCAAATGTCATCAAACTGTGCTCCTTCCCTCGCGCTTCCTCTCCTCGCCTTCATGGCAGGTAAACCACACTCGTAAAGCATCACTAATGCACGGCGTCACAGTTTACATCGGAGTTGAAATCGGTTTGTATCAGTGACAGACGATGTGAAGCTGAATACTGCAGTGTGGCTACGAATAATGAACTAAAATACGTCTTCAATTAAATATTTAATGCCAGCAACAATTATAGCGTACATTTGTATGTGAAGACACAAAATAGACGTGAGGCGACATGAAAAGACAGACAGCATTCAAATAGCAATCTGAAATACAAGGTTAGAAGAAGCAGCCTCTTGCCAAAATAAAGAGTATTTGTCCTGCATGTGACCAAAATCATTATAATCTCAGTCATCTGAATAACTCCAGAATATATGATAGGCACCTTGCTTGAACCATGCAAAATTGTGAATACATTCTGAGCATTTTGGTTTTTAAAAAGTAAATACATAAACATCTTACAGTAACCGGTCAAAATAAAACAGGCATCGAGTGTGAAACTGTAAAAGAAAGGCACATAAAATGTATAAAAAAGAACATAACAGGATTGAGAACTTCGGTTTTGCCCACTTGGAGATGAACATGATGCATTTTGGATTCCATATACTCAGTGATTGTGGAGAAATGAACAAGCGTCTCTAAAGGGGTTATTCTTCAGAGGACGGGGTCGTGTCTGACGGTGCCTGCTGGGTAACACTGTCCATCTCTGCAGGATCAGAGCTCTCAGTCGATGGACTCTTCTCATGGGCGGCACCTTCTTCCTCTGCCTGGCTTTTATCGGCTTCTGTATTAGCACTCTCTTCAAAGCCGGGCCCTTCGGCCTGCGGACCGTCGCCGTCGTAGATGATGTCCTCTGGGTTGGGCGCAGGAGGACAGAACTCTTCATCAGGGAGGATATGATGAAACACGGATTCAGCCTGGAAATAAACAGAAACCATCACAGTTTGCCTAAACCAACAAGAAACATCCCATAATTGAGCCTATAAGCAATATCTGATCCAATGAACGCAAGTGTCTGCCTCCCTCTGCTGGACTCACCAGTTTAATGGAGCAGTCGCTGCCCAGGCTGCCATCGGGACCGGTGCACACGTGAACGTTGCTCGGCAGGCTGTAGCTGCTGCTGTCCAGGGCTGATGTGTCCCTCATGTTGAAGTACATGACCCACAGCACTGCCGGCTTGCTTCTCTCCTCTGCACCTGCATGTGATGTTTAGACATGTATGTCAATGTCTTGACATAAGACGGCCTTGCATTTCAGATGTCTTACTCTTGACAATTCTGAAAAATATTAAGCCAAATCTGGGCTAAAACGGTAATACCGTTAAAGATCATTACAATTAAAAAAAGCTGTTTTCTATTTGAATATGTTTTCAAATGTAATTTATTCCTGTGATCAAAGCTGAATTTTCAGAATCATTACTCCTCCCTTCAGTGTCACATGATCCTTCAGAAATCTTTCTAATATGCTAATTTGCTGCGCAAGAAACATTTCTTATCATTATCAATGTTGCAACGGCTTTTGCTGCCTCATATTATTGTGTAAACTGTGAAACACTAGCATTTAAAAAAAAAAAAAGAAAAATAGAAAAAAATAACTTTTATTCATCAAGGACACACTCACACTATATTGATACAAGTTAAAGACAATTGTTACAAAGGATTTGTATTTCACATAGAAATACAACATTAAACACTGAATTTTCTATTCAGCGAAACTGTTGTAATATTAAGAATCATAAATGATGATTGACCAATAATAACTGATAATAATGATTCACCAGCATATTAGAATCATTTCTGAAGGATCATGTGACACTAAAGGCTGGAGTAATGATGCTGAAAATTCAGCTTTGCATCACAGGAATAAACTACATTTTAAAAATATAAAAGAAAAAAGAAAACTGTTATTTTAAATTATAATAATATTTCAATATTACTGTTTTTTTTTTTACAGTATTTTTGATCAAATAAATGCAGCCTAACACTGTAAGTTACTAATTATAATGCTTACATTTCCGCAGTTATTCAAACAGCAGCTACAGAAAACTTGCAAAAAACATTTACAATATCAAAGAACATCATCACTGACTTCAGTCTAGTGCGAGTTCACTGATTATAACTCCTGTTATAATCAGTGTAGCCATCTACACTGTATGATGAATAAATCTCTTATACTTACATCGCCCGTACAACTGCACTTTGTTGTTTATTATGAGAGAATTCGCGAGAGAGCAGAATCCAGTCGGCCAGCGCACGCACTGAACAACAAAACTCTGGTGTTTCATCGATGACTCATCTGAACGCTTCTGATTGGCCGCTGCATTCATAAACTCAGCGGAATCGTGTGTGATTGGTTATAACGCACAACACTGTAAAAATGTTGAAAAAGAAATATGATGGAACAAATAAGCCTTAATATTAATTAGATAGTATTACTAGCCTGATAATAATAATAATAATAATGATAATCGTCTTGCTATCGTCAAAGGCATCAGCCACAGGCGATATCTCTGACTATCGTTGATACACGATACTATCGTCTATTGGCACAATGTTATTGAGTACATGAAATTTGAATTAAGTCATGTAGATTTAGTTAAAAAAGCTGCAGAGTAGTTAAATTTGGACTAATATAATAGTTATCATTAACACTGTGGTGTACACTACAATTCAAACATTAGGGGCCAGGAAGATATTTTTTTTAAATGAATTCACTAAGGATGCATTAAATTGATCAAAAGTGACAGTTCTTTCAAGTAAATCATTTGAGCTTTCTATTCATCAAAGAATCTTGAAAAAAAAAAAAAATCATGGTTTCCACAAAAGTATTAAGCAGCAGAACTGTTTTCAGCATTGATAATAATAAATGTTTCTTGAAGAGTTATTAAGCACAGAGTGATTTCTGAAGGATCATGTGACACTAAAGGCTGGAGTAATGATGCTGAAAATTCAGCTTTGCATCACAGGAATAAACTACATTTTAAAAATATAAAAGAAAAAAGAAAACTGTTATTTTAAATTATAATAATATTTCAATATGACTGTTTTTTGATCAAATAAATGCAGCCTTGGTGAGCAGAAAAGCCTTGTTTTAAAAACAAAAACACTAGAGTATAATATATTATTTATGAACAAAATAATTGTTTTCATTTTTAAAACAAACAAAAAAAATTTAAAATAAAATAAAATAATCAGGGCTGTGTAACTGATAATAATGATTCACCAGCATATTAGAATCATTTCTGAAGGATCATGTGACACTAAAGGCTGGAGTAATGATGCTGAAAATTCAGCTTTGCATCACAGGAATAAACTACATTTTAAAAATATAAAAGAAAAAAGAAAACTGTTATTTTAAATTATAATAATATTTCAATATTACTGTTTTTTTTTTTACAGTATTTTTGATCAAATAAATGCAGCCTTGGTGAGCAGAAAAGCCTTATTTTAAAAACAAAAACACTAGAGTATAATATATTATTTATGAACAAAATAATTGTTTTCATTTTTAAAACAAACAAAATTTTTTTAAAATAAAATAAAATAATCAGGGCTGTGGAAAGTCTTCGAAGGTGTGCACAGAAACATTACAACCTAAATTGTTGGTGTTGGATATTTTTTATATGAAAGCCAGAGAGAATTTCAGCACCAAGGACAGCAGAAAGCATGAGTTGATGGGAACACCACAGACTGACATTTTGACTCGCGGCATTATAGTCTTGACCACTTTGCAGATTATTCCGGGCAAGAAACACCCACTTAAAAAAGGAAGAGATCAACAGACCAACATGTAAAGCAACAAATCACACTTTCTTTAGACTGCAGAATGCCATAAAAAGAGGGTTCTCTCACAAGGTTGTTTGTCCACAAAAGTGGAAGTAGTATAGAAACGCCACTCTTCTTCTAAGCATTATTTTAAAACTTTAGGTTAGGGAACACTATTCTCTATTAACTAGTTGCTTATTAGCATGTATATTACTAGCATACTGGCTGTTCATTAGTATTTATAAAGCACATATTAATATCTTATTCTGCATGACCATATTCCAGATCCCTTAACCCTATCCAATACCTAAACATAACTACTACAACAACTACTTTATTTACTATCAATATACAGCAAATTAGGAGTTAACTGAGGGGAAACTTTTAGTTAATAGTGAATATGTTCTTACCAACACCACTTATGGCAGTTTCAAAAGATCTCTGTTGATTTATCATGATAGGAGTCACTGTTATTTTGTTAGCGGCTGCATGACGTAGGTCACCTAATCGCTTTCTCTCCTTTGATGACATCTTAGGCGAGATGGCTTTATAGGACAACAGAAGAGAAGAGTCTCAAGAGTGTGTGTGCGCGTGTGTGTCACTGGTTCGTTTAAAGCGTAAAGCTGTCAGTCTGTATCATTACCCTTTAAATACATGAGCCTCTGCCGCAAAAAAGGTGGGAAAAGAAAGGCTAGAAAAAGCGAGAGGGAGAAGGTGTCAGTCTGAAATGTCAGAACGGTCATTACCCAAATGTCACACAATTATGACGCGTGTTCCTTTTCCTGCCTGGAGTGGCCCGGTGATTTGCTTAATTTGGAGAGGGGGAGAGGTGTGGTGGCATCAATGTTTAACGCCGCTTCAAATATACCACCCATCCTTCCCTCTGAATGCTGCCGGGTCAAGTCTTTAACTGAACACACACAGCGAAAGAGTCATGGACATACATGACCAGGTAATATATGGACACAGAGAAACAGTTTTATACTGTATACTGTATATGTATTGATATATAAAGTTATTTATAATATATTGATGTCGGTTTGATTATTTTATTAGTATATTCATAATTATACATGTTATAAAATCATAATAAAAATAAAACATATACACCACCATTCAAAGGTTGAGGATCAGTAAGATTTTTTTAAAGAAAATAATACTTTCATTCATCAAAGGCACATTAAAATGAACAAAAGTGACAGTAAAGAGTCGACACTTATGTCACAAAAAATGGTATTACAAAAATGCTGTTCCCTTGAACTTCCATTCATCAAAGAATCCTGGAAAAAAACAATGTACCTCTGTTTCCACAAAAATGTTAAGCATCACAACTATTTTCAACATTGATCAAATTAAGAAATATTTCTTGAGCAGAAAATCATCATATTAAAATGATTTCTGAAGGATTGTAATATTTCACAACATTACTGTTTTGATTGTATTTTTGATCAAATAAATGCTGCCTTGGTGAGCAGAAGAGACTTCTTTCAAAAAAATCTTGCAGACCCCAAATATTTGAATGGTAGTGTACACATGAATAATATAAAACATTATATATTACTTTGTCTGTTTTTCAATTTTTTAAATTCAAAGACCAACTTTTGTATAAAATGAACTACTTTGTATAAATGTATGTTTATGTTTAATTTTATACCTTAAGTTTAAAAAGTCTATTGAAGTGTGCAAGTATGCATGTGTTTGGGTTTGGTCATACACACACACACACGCTCCCAGATGTGACAATGTCACATTAGCATACAGCAGCACTCCTGATGGTGGCTAACACATGCCTGCAGCTGCAAACCTCCCAAACCACAATCAACTAAAGTCTCCAAACCCAAAGAGATATTCTTTATAAAAGTTAAGAATCGTCCACACCCTCCTAAAATGCCTCGTTCAAACACGCCCCGTCTACGTCATGTGATGTGGGAAGATTTGCATAACGCCGCCCAAATGTTCACACAAAGAAACAGGAGTTTTGGGCAGTGTAGAGTAGCGCTTGTTGTTTGTCATTTCTCCGATTACAAATGCAGACATGGTTTTACGTTTACACGGCGCGATGCAATGCAACGCATAAAAGGACAGTACAAGTCATTATAATCCGTAATTATGTCCCCACTGGATGCAACAAATGCCTCGTTTATAATGGCTTTTATTGGTTTTGTCTCGTCGCTCCGGGACAAGGCATCACAGTATGGTAAGGGGCGTAACATTTCAGTCACACGCTTGAGGTATTCGGCCAATCACAACGCACTGGATAGCTGGCCAATCAGAGCACACCTCGCTTTTCCGACCGATGAGCTTTGTAAAAATCGAAAAAAAATTTGTAAAAAAGCGTTTCAGAAAGGCGGGGCATAGAGGAGAAACAATAATGTACAGTATGTAGAAAATAATGTGTTTTTTGAACCTTAAACCGCATAAACACATTTCAT